TATGTAAGTACATAGTTATGATGAGCAAGAGTTCTCTTCCAAACCTGTGAATTTTATGGCCCTAGGGTCAGGGGTTCTTGTGTAAGGGCGGGGCTCTATTGATTATATAGTGAAAAAGCATTATTTCTTTGAAAATCTTTTTCTCTGCCCCAGGGTACTAAATAAACTAACTAAGTACATAGTTATAATGAGCAAGAGTGGCTCTACCAAAATTTTGAATTTTATGGCCCCTGGGTCAGGGGTTCTGGTGTTTGGGCGTTGCTCTTTTGATTACATAGTGTAAATGCATTTATTCTTTGAAAACCTTCTTCTCTGCTCCCGGGTATCAAATAAACTTACTAAGTACATAGTTATGATGAGTAAGAGTGCCTCTTTCAATATTGTGAATTATATGGCCCCAGGGCAAGGGTTTCTGGTGTTAGGGTGGGGCTCTATTGTTTATATTGCGAAAATGCATTGATTCTTTGAAAATCTTCCTCTCTGCTCCCGGGTATTAGATAAACTAAATTAGAATATAGTTATAATGAGCAAGAGTGCCTCAACCTGATTTGTAAATTTCATGGCCCCTGTGTCAGGAGTTTACCCATTCATTTTGTATAAGTGGGGTCTTTTGATTATATAGTGAAAATACTTTAATTCTTTGAAAATCTTTTCCTTTGCACCTGGGTATTATGCAATGATCTAAGTATATGTATTTATGATGAAAAAAGGTGCCTCTATCAAAATGGTTAATTTCATGCCCCCTGGGTCAGGGGTAAGGGGGGGGTACATAGTCTGAAAATAAATTAATGCTTTGAAATCTGCTCTTTAGAATTAATCAACCATTTATGATGAAATAAAATTTATGATAAAATTTCCAATACTTTGAATTAAGTGGCCCCAGGGTCAGTGGTTCCTTTAGGGTGGGGTGCACAACTGGTTATAAGTTGGAAGTGCATTTTTTCTTTGTTACCTCTGGGTATTATGTAACTAAAGTAAGCAGGCTAAGTGTATCATTATGATAAGCAATGGTGCATCTTTCAAAATTGTGAATTTCATGGCATCTGGTTTAAAACATGAACCAATTCAATTGTTCAAAAGTGTTTCATGATACTCAGGTGACCTATAAGACCCATGGGCCTCTTGTTTATTTAGTTTTTATGCAAACTATATAAGATAAATTACTAAAAGGAGTTAAAAGATTTTAGATTTCCGTGGAATATCATAAGATTTTGTGCAGGGTTAATTTTTTTTAATTCGTGTATCTCTCATCCACGAATAAAAATCCTCATCCTCCACAAATGAATAAACTGGGAATACTAAGTCATATTTTCTTTTGTAGTCAAGAGAATGAACACGAGATTATCTCATCAAACGTTCTAAAGAACTATATTCAGAAATGACCAATATTTTCCCCTAAAAATTAACATGTAAAAAAACTATACTAAAAAAACTCATATTTCTCCCCCAAAATAAAATTTGACAGCACATTTCAAGCATTTTTCAATATTGAACTTTTATGGGGGCAAAATTTTGCATAAACCGCATATAACTCTTCAAGCAATTCATAAAAAATTGACCCTCCCCAATTTTAATGATTCCACAATTTCACTGTAATTCAAACTTTCTACAAAGAAATGTTTTTAAAGAAATATAATAGTTTATTTTAAAAAATACAGGGAATAACTAACTGTTTTAAAATGTACGTAACATGTACATGTATGATATTAAAAAAAATGAAATTGTATAAAAGTTTTAATAATGAAGTCTTACACGTCATTTAAAAGACAGCAAATGCATGTTCCAAGAAAATGCTCTAATTTTTATTTTAAAAATCTTTATAAATTCCTAATTGTATGTACAAGTTAAAAAAATATGAAAAGTAAACCTAGCTCTAGTATTTTTGTGTATGAATATAAACTTCGTTTGTTTAAATTACATTGTACTAGATGCTGGTTTTAAATTTTCAAATAAAAATACATCAAATAAAGAGTATACATGTAATTATAAAAAAACCTTCAATATAATAAAACTGTGATATCGTCTTTGAGTTAACGTATAAAATGTTATTAATTTATTTTTTATTTTGAATGTAAAATTTCATAAATTTACATCAGAATGATTTTCTACACTGTACAGTTTGTGTGCACCAGATTTATTCCGTTTTCTGCTTCACAGTCACACGGGCGAAGTTCATAGATACCACGGTCTTCATTAAAACTAACAGTCACATCTAAAAACGTTTAAAAACAAAATTATCTTATTTAGTCAGCAATTTTAGAAAGCAGTACATATAAGGTTAATTATTGCATTTGTATTACCTTACATGAATTGCTTGGTAAAAATAAATAAATAATTAAATAAATAAGAACAAAGTAAATATTAAGTTTCACATTAACATCCTTTATTTCAGACACTTTATTACCTGTATGGCATTTTGAGGTTTCTATGAAGACATGTGTTATGAAGAAAAGTGTTAAAAAAGATGTAAAAGAGGCGAACTAAAAAAAGGATATATTTACTTCCTAAATACAATTATAAGGTGAAAATAACACGTGGAAGAAACTACCCTGTATGTACATAAAATCAGAACTCACCGTTTCGTCCGGGGAGTTTTAAGAAGACAAGGCCGTCTCTTTTCTGCTGCTGGAACCGTGTTAAGCCTTCGTCTGCATCGTCCTGTTATACACAATAAAGAGTTTTTTATTTTGCAATGAATGTAAAAACCTACATTAATGTTACATTGATATAATATCAGTATTCTTTTCTTTGTGAAATCTAATGATTAATGATTAAATGATTAATGATGGCTTTCTTCAAAGTAATTTTAGCAAAAAATATCAAAAATTTCATTATTTTATGATTTTTTAACAGTATTTTATTTTATAGGATCAAATGTATCAGAATACTCTTTAAATAATATTTTGTAATTGACATTTTATTGGAGAAAAGATTAATTATTAGATTAATTGAATATGAAAATCTAGTAATTTTATGATCTGTTATGAATAAATATTTAATTAGTAATATTTACCATCAGGTCCAGTGCATTTCCTTTTATGCCAAGATATTTTGGCGGATCTAGCTGTACTTGATATCTGTATTCATAACGCCAGGTCTTATCATTAACGGACTTCCTCACGATGAAATGACCTAATCATAGATAAGCATGAAAGACAACATTTAAATATTATCAGCCTAATGTTTGAAAATCGAATTAAAAATTAAAAGAAGCATTGCATGTATATAAAAATATTGATTGAAAATTGAGTTCTACTAATTGACAAATTTCATCAGATTGCATATTATTTTGCAAAAGTTAGATACACTGTGTAACATATAGACATATAAAAAACAGTATTCAAGATCAAAAATCCATAAAACAATACGAAATAAGAGCAGCGCAAACACAGACCTCTAAAACATCAGAGGTGGGATCAGGTGCCTTGGAGGAGTGAGCATCCCATGCCGACCGGCCACAGCCGCCTAGTGCTCCTTGTCATGATAATGAAATACAGTAACAGAAAAATCCGTCATCTACTCATTTTCTCCACTTGAGTGTTTTCTTCCCGATCATGACAAGGAGCACACAGCAGGTGTGATTGGTAAAGGGGGATGCTAACTCCTCAGTGACACCTGATCCCACTTTTAATATTTTGAATTTCGTGTTTCTTATACTTCCGATTTGTATTGGACCCAATAAACTTCTGAGCTTAATTACTGTTCTTTATCTTCATATTCAACAATTTTACACAATACATATGTTATATGGGCAAATCCTTAATGATATAAAAGACCTATTTATCATATATAGAAACCGTCTTACATCTACAGTCGGTTAAAAAATCTGTAACTTGACTGAGTTGGAGACGTCCTTGGTCGGGCACCAGAAACTTGGATTGATTTGGTATCCGCAGAGCTTTAACCGTAGGGGGAAAATAACCTGATGACGTCAAATTCACATATGCTGTCTTTAGCATAACTAGAATAAAAATCAAAATTTGTCTACAAACAAAAGCAGAAAAAAACGATGTTGTAAAACATTACTCCTCCATGATGAGACTTCCCCCGATAGCCTCGTTATATATTGGATTTAATTAACTTGGCTATAAAGTGAGACTTCCCCCAACATCCTGGCTATATATTGAAACTTTCCCTGGAAGACAGGCTGTTTAGTAAAACTTTATCCATAGGCCTGGAAATATATTAAATGAAACTTTCCCTGGGAGTGGCTATAAAGTGAGACTTCCCCCCAAAAGTCTGGTTATAGATTGAAACTTCCCCTGCAAGACGACTGGCTATGTAGTGAGCTTTCCCCAAAAAGACTGGCTATATCTTGGAACTTGGCTTTATCGATACTTCCCCAAACACTCTGGTTATATATTGGAACTTTCCCTGGAAGACTGGCGACATATGGTGAGACTTCCCCAAAAAGTCTGGCAATATATTGGAACTTTCCCTTAGACTAACTATAGAGTGAGACTACCACCAAAGCCATGGTTTATTTCGGAACTTCCCCTGGAAGACTGGGACACTTCCCTGGGCTTTATATATTGTTATTTTTCTCCCCTAAGGAAACAAGACAGTATATACATGTAGCCAGTGTTTTGGTGGAAGTCTCAATAAGGGGAAATTGTTCTATATGACACCGTTCTTGTTAATAAACATCTATCAATCCATCTAGAAAAGCTTACAAAATCAGATTATATTTTAACACATAGTTCTTATAACATACACCTGAGAATCTATCAATTTATTTATAATTTGGGTGATATGATACGTAACTTTATTTTTTCCAATTAAAAATTGAATTAAAGAGGATATGTAATTTTTGTATTCTTTCTTCTAGTTAAATGAAATTACAGCACAACTTTTAAATTAGAAAGGACTTGAACGTGCTTGACACTAAAGTTAAAATGTTTTTTTTAATTCAATCTAAATCTAAAAAAATATATACTTACTTTCTTCTGATACTACTGCTACAAATATAATATGTTTAAAAGGTAAAAAGTGTCTTGTTTAATTTAAGAGTAAATACAATAATTTATATTGAAATATTTTAACATATTGAAATATCCCTGACATATATAAGATAAGAATTAGAATGGAATAAGCTATTTGATTTTCCGCTTTGCCATTTTTTTCCGGAGAGTTTGAGTTTCGGTAAATCAACCTGAAAAAGGTGTGTTATACTCACCTGGTTGAATTGCTTCTAATTGAAAATCAATAAATGTCAAGAGATTTGTTGTCCTTGTATATATTACCTGAAGGTAAAAAGAAAGAACTTTAGTAAACATTAGGTAGAATTTCTTATTTTTGACAAGCTGTAGGGAATCGTCAACTTTGAATGCTGTTTATGATAATTCGCTGATAAAGATCTTTGAGTAATTAAACACCGATTTAATACCTCTAATGAAATACCGTATAAGTAAATTTTTATAGCAAGGATTTATTTTTGGCATTATTAGCGAGGGTGCCGACATCGCTAAAATTGAATATACCAAATTAATTGCGTATTATTTGTAATAGCTTCTTTAGTTAGCATTTCAAAATCGCTAAAATTACTTCTCGCTGAAAACAAAATACCAGATTTTAGGTAGAATCGCTAAATTCGCGTCTCGCTAAAATTTACACTTATACGGTATGTAAAGAAAACAATGGTAATCTATTTTATAAACCTATATAGCAACAATATAAATATGAAACAGGGAATAAAACACGGATCTTCTGGAAAATCCTAAAGGTGGAATCAAGTGCCTAGGTGGAGAAAGCTCCCGTTGTTGACCTGTCAGACATACTGTATGAACCCTATTTTTATATCAGTTAGATGAGCAATCCGTAGTTAAATTGAGTTTAAAAACAAAGACCTGACACATTGGTATTAAATGTGACAGTAAAACACGACCCGTTATAAGAATTCAAGTTATATTGACCTTGACACTTATGCATACTTTTACGTTATTTCAAGAAAGAGGTAGGTTCACGTACACCATAAAATGGCCCTGTCAATATACCACACTCAGTAACCGACCAAGTCCTTACGTCCTATTTCGATCATTGACATAAAGTAGAGACTTAATTAGCGCTTTCATTTCCTACAAAAGAATTCCACTGAGAGTCCAAGTCTGGAAACTCCGGAGTTGTGAAACTGCAATGTTCTTGATTTTTGAAGAAAATGGGTAAAATTGAGCATCTTCAACTTTTGATAAAAATATGAGCCCACCCCACGATCCAAACATTCTTTCATGGATTAGAATCTTCTGAAACAGTTCTTTAATTATATAATTCAACATTTTAGATCAGAGGTTGGGGGCTATGCAAAATATTAAAAAACAGCTTAAATATTTTTCGTCATTTTAACGAAATTTTTAAGATTTGAGGAAAATGACGAAATTAATGACGTCATAATACATAAACAAGAGAAAAAATACCTCATTTTTATTTGATATGAAGTCACTTAGGGTCCAAGTGAAAATTAACATATTTTTAACTAATACTCTTTTAAAAGTCTTTTTCGTGTTAATTTAAGGTTTCAAAAAGGTACCATGTTGATGGGTTCTCCTATTGGTAATGTCCTAAAGAGTTCCAGCACATCCTCTTCAGTATAAGATGGGGAATCCAAAATTTGTGCGGAATTAAGACTTACAAGAATGTCTTTTTCCCTACAAAAGATACAAAAACAAACATATAGGATATATAAAATAACATTACATATTCTTTTCAAATTGCAAAAACGCTTAAAAGAGTTTATAATTTAAGGTTTTGCCAAAGTCAAGATGTCAAAAAATTTATTTCGAGTTTACAATGGCCCCAAAACCATGTTAAGTGTAAAGTTTAAAGTTTTAAAGTTCATAAATATACTAGTCTAGTAGTAATGATTAACAGATAAAAAGTATCACATGAAAACAAATTTTGAAAATCGAGAAAAAAGTTCATCTGCTTAATTCTGTACTTTTAGTGAAAACCATGTTTGCAGGAATAATATATGTTTATCAGTGAATTACAATTTTGGCGTGAATGGTGCCCGAAAGGTTATTGTTGAAAGCATGACACGTATAAAGACAAGACCCCTACACAGCCAATTGTGCCTAACGTTAATTTAGTGTTAATCTCAATTAACGTTAAATTAATGTTAGCTTGATGTTAGTTTAATGTTACTTTCGTGTTAAGTTAACGTTAAAAATATTAACATTAAGGTCAAGATCTAGTAAATGAAAGGTGCCTACAGATTTATCAAACTTGAGAAATGAATTCCTTTATTGATGCTTTACAACTTTAGCTTGGTCAAATAAGGTGTTTCGGGACATAATTTGAAGGTAAACAATATGAAAAACTGTATTTTAAACTGTCATTTTCAATGAAAAATTAAGAAAACCAGTCTTGAATATAGGAGTTTTTTCGTATTCGGCAAATGAAATGTATCCAGATTGCCTACAGTAACTCAGAAAACGGCAATTAGTATGCTCATGGCCTCTTCTTTAAATCAATATCAAATTGAATATAGGTATCCGGTTTACTTTTCATATAATTTCAAATTGAATGAGATGAAAATACCCTATTTTCTACATAATTCTGCTAAAGCCGTAAAGTACGGGAAAAAGAAAGTTGAAATTGATTATGACGTCATAATGGATCTAGCACCAAAAAATTAGTCTCAAGTTATTTACTAGATCTTGACCTTAATTTAACGTTAATTTTTAACGTTAATTTAACATAACATTAAATTCATGTTAATTTTTAACGTTAATTTAACTTAACATTAATTTCATGTTAATTTTTAACGTTAATTTAACTTAACATTAATTTCATGTTAATTTTTAACATTAAATTAACATTAAATTTTAAGTGAGCTTGGGTTCTGTCTTAAAAATCTTGAACCAAAATATTAACATTAGATTAACGTTAATTAGTTAATGTTAATTTCATGTTAATGTGAATTTAACGTTAATTCTTTAAAGCCATATATGGCGTAACTGATCAAAAAAAATATTTTTGAAAAATACAAAATTTATTAAAGAAAAATAGTTCATACATTTAAATTAAAACTTTTCACATAATTCTGAACACGGAAAACACCGTGTTTCATCTTAAATACGATTTTATCTTCTCTGTAATGTGTTATTTAAATCTTTTGTATTTTCTTCCGTATCGGAGAAAATTCCGAGAATCCAAATTAAATTGTGATATCTTTATAACGCAATTGACTTAGATTTTGTAATTTACGGAAAAGTTCTATCTTTATATAAAGTATTGATACAAATAATAAGTTGTTATAATTTTTCCCTAATAATTTTCATTGAACATACGCCATATATGGCTTTAATGTTAATTTCATGTTAATTATAACAACACAAGATTAATGTTATTATTCAAATTTTAGACCTAACTTTAACAATACTTGCCAATCATTTTAGTGACATTTAATTAATTATTTAGATGTCCATATGTGGATACTCAAAACCGCCGGGATTGGGGGGGGGGGGGTATTGACACTTGTGTCGAAATAAATTTTTAACGCCAATATACATATATATAAAGATAACAGTTGTGTTAGTATTATACCATAGGTTCAAAATGTATTTCCGACACAATGTAAGGATGTGTTGTAACACGTGTGGTTTTGGGAAAGGGAGGGTGCTCTAACTGTTATATATAGCACAGGCGCGGATCCAGAAATTTTTCAAAGGGGGGGTTGAGGTTTTTTTTCAAAAGGGGGGTTGAAGGCGAAACAGTTAAAACGTACGTTGTACACATACGTATAGTTTTTGAAAGTGGGACGTTGATCAATCTGGGAAAAAGTACTTGTATACATTACCAGAAAGTTTTTGAAAAAGAAAGGAAAATAAATCTCCGAACCTGAAAATCCTATTTTGTAAAGGGATGGGGTTTTATTTTGTTTTTACAACCGAATTTCTTTATATATTACAACATTAGCATTTCACCTTACATTTTCTGTAGTAAAAACACAACAAAAAAATTGGAACTTTCTTATTTCTCTTTCTTTTTTGCAAA